TCTCCTCTCGGGATCTTGGGCACGCATGCACACGCACCCGGCGTGAGTTTTAAGCCACCGGGTCCAGGACGCGAACCGCGGTCGACTACGTGGGAATCCAGCGACATAGCCATTACGCTAAATGCTGGTTCCCTATTTACTCATTTTTAATTTGACCAGAGAGAGACAGAGAAAGTGAGAAAGCAAACTGCCAGGTCTGGTACTTAAATGGTGGTTGGCCACATGGAAGTCCAGTGCCTTCAAAACCAAGTCATCTGGCAGCCCCAGGACATGGTTATTTTGAGCTTTGTCCATGAGCACGAGAGAGAGCATCCCAACAGGGTCCTGACGCCGCAGCCTGCCCCGCCAGCCCCAGACCACTGCACATGTGGTGCCCTGCAGCCCGCATGCTCCAGGAGGCCTCTGGTGTGAACCCCATGCCTCCGGGTCAGCTTCCCAGGTCACATCTCGAGCTGTACCCCACTCAGTCACATGGAGAACTGTGACCTGCCGCGGTAGTTAAGATGGACAACTCTTCCCAGCTCCCCCATTTATTATGTCTTCACAGATGATGCCGGAAGTCCGGGGAGCCTTGTTTGGTGCAAACGCCAACAGGAAGTTTTTGGACTAAGCCTTGGGGAGTGGAGTCCATCTGCTCTACCGTGGGAGTTTCTGAGAATCTGAAGAGACAAAGTCGTCTACGTACCTCCTCCTCTGCTGTTCGAATACTGTCCTGTATTTCCCCATGGGCCCCTGCAGCCAGAGTCCTTGGCCTAGTTGGTAATGACAGGAGAATGTTCCATGAACATGATTGGGAACCTACCTCTAGTTCACTCCACAGTAACATGGCCTGGAGCTGTTCTGTACCGTGATGGTGAGGGATCGGCTGGTGGTTGCCTGGACGTCACTGAGCCCTGTTATTTTCCCGGCTCAGTGGCCTGGTCTGCAGGGGCCTCTCTGGTTCTCTCCTCCCAAGCCTCTGCTCTGAGGCTTCAGCCGCATGTAGGGCATGCATCCTTCAGCAGTAGTTGCTTCCCTGTCACCTGTGTGGGCCTAGGAGTTTTCCTCGTCTGTAAGTGATTTAACGTCTAAACCACGGATCTGCTTTATTTATTAAAACAAAAGGTGTATGTGCATTGCATTGGCATTTCTTTTCTTTATGTACTTGTTTGTTTTTTGAGAGGTGTTTGCCTTAGAGCATGTGTACTCACTGGAGAGACACAGTGAGAAGGAGAGTGAGCGGCCACCACTGGGGGGATGGCCACCCCACAATCCCTCCCTCGTTCTCCCAGGCGCTGGGGCACACATGGACCTTTGCCTGGTGTGAGTTTCAAGCCACTGGGCCTGGGCTGCAGCCACGGTATTTCTGCAGTGAGCAAGACAGCGACAGCCCCCACGTTGGTGCGCACACCAGTCTGCCCATTTCGAGCCAGCCTGGATCACAGATGCACACCCCGAGTGTGCTCAGTGAGGGCCTGTGTCGTGCACCGGTACCTTCATGTGGTCGCCCCCAGGGAGTCCTTGTCCCGGCCCCTCACAGCCCTCTGCTCAGGGTTCTAATGTCTCCGCTCCTGTAGAAGGTGGTGACCACGTTACTGAGAAAATGCTTTTGTTGGTTTGGGCAGAGTGAGAAAAAGAACTATGGGGTTTTTTGTTTTCTTTTTTTAGAATTGTTCAGTTTTGGTCATTATTTTTTAATTTACTATAGGGCACGTGCATTCACCAGGGAGAGGGGAGGTGAGAAAGTACCTGCCGGGCTCCAGACCCAGGCTGCGGCTGCTGGCTGTTCGGGAGTCTCGTGCTCCAGCCACCATGCTGCTGGCCCGAGAACTGAGTGTTTTCTGAGAGGTGTTGTGTGCTTAGGCTAAATCCCTCCCAGAGGTCCTTCCCTTCCCTTCTCCGTTCTTTTTAAGGGCGTATGTGCTGCTCAGACCAAGAAGAGGAGTGGAGAGAGCCCCGGGGGGCTGGCCACGCTGCAGTCCCTTCTCCATCTCCCTGGTTCAGGGTTTGGACTCATGCCTGTGAGCCCAGGTGTTTCTCAGGCTGCCGGCCTGGCCCAGGGTGCAGACCCTGACTCAGCTGTGTGGGTCAGCTGCCTTACCCTGCAGGCCACGACGCAGGCCCCACTCCACCTTGTCCTCCCCTCGGGACTAAGAGGTCCCGAGGTCTGGCAGCTTGTAAACGGCAGAGTCAGACTTGTACTGAGGTCCGTCTCCGAAGCCACGAAGCCATGCTCAAAGCCAGCCTTTTTTGTGTGTTTTTTTTCTCCTTAAGGTTTTTTCTCCCATGACATGGAGTGACAGACACCTCTGCCAGGGCTCATGCCACAGTACGCCCCAGTCTCTGCTGCCTAGATAGAACCCTGCACACACCTGGCCTACTCTAAGGTCCTGAGACACACACCCAGGACCTCCCACATGTGGGACCCGCTGTATTGCCACTGGCCAGCCCAAAGGGCTTCCTAGGCCCCAGGGACAGCGTGTGGGCGCCATCGTTCTCACTGACCCACATTTTAGGGCAGGTGGGGACTACTGTAGATCCTGACTCCTCACCTGGGCAGCAGTTCCCCTCCCTAGCTGCCTTACGGGGGTGGGCTGGGGCACTCAAGGGCCATCTGTCACAGCAAACTCAGCCCCTCCAGGTGAGGGCTCCATGGCTACGACGTGATGGACAGACTGACGGCCCGTGTGCCTGTGGCTGCCCTCCACCCCAGGAGGCGGTTCACCACTGGGTGCCCTTCTTGTGTGGTTGGGCTCTGAAATACACAGGAAGGTGACCACCTGGCTGCCGTGTGCACTCAGGAGGCGATGAGGTTGTAACCACCGACTTTATTTCAGACAGCGATCCACAGACCGGGCAGGGGCCGCGGGAGCCTGTGTCTGGGAAGGGTTTGGGTCCGAGGACCCCACCCAGCCAGGCTGCCAAGGTAGCGTCAGCTCACCCCTTGGGCGTCCGTGATTTGAAATCACGTGCTTGGTTTCAAACAGGTGCTGACAGGGTTTTCATGGTCCCCTTTAACTTCTGGTCCTCCTTTTCCCCAAAGTTAGTGCTAGGACTAATCATATGTTATTTAATTTAGATAAATAGAATTATGAGAAATTCTTAAACGGACTCAAGTGCACTGAGTCTGAGCGTGAAACGTGTTACGATGAAGCCTTCTACCGGCAGCATCTGTTAGCCCTGCAGGGAGTACAGCCGAAGCGAGGCATTGATAAAGTTAAGTCCCTGGTCTCTAGCCCCAAAGGAAATGGGTGCAGGTACCGCGGAAGGGGGGAGTAGGGTGATCTTCCAGACGGAGGGAGCAGGCGCCATGGCAGGGCCAGGGCAAAGCAAACCCGGCTGGAGGGGTGGCAGCGAGTCGGGGCATGGTGCCAGCAGACCTACTCCAAAGCCTTCAGGACGCGCTCTCCGATGCCAATGAAGTAGACGCCCTGAGCAATCCCGAACAGCGGCGCGATGACCAGGGCCCGGCAGCCTGCCCCTTTCATGAATGCGGATGGTCCCTCCTGGGTCCAGAGTTTCCTGGGGAGGAAGGCACCCAGTGAGCTGAGCCACAATGGCAGGCAACGCCCAGCATGGGCCTCCTCCCGAATGTCTGCCCGTGGTGAGGAGGTGTCCGCTTGCACAGGGAGGCACGGCCTCGTGTGCAGGGCCGTACCTCGTACCTTGCTGGTTATGTATCTGTGGTTTGGCTCTTAGCACCTGGGTCCAGGCCCTGGAAGAGGCTTGACCTCACTCTACTCGTGAAAGGGGAGGGCTGCTGTAGGGACGTGAGGGAGGTCAGCGGGCCCAGCCGCCCTGCTTTCCGTGAGACGGAGGGAAGGGACAGACAGCAAAGCCCCGGAACTTGGTTCACCTCGGTCTCGGGCAGCAGAGGTGACCGTGCAGGGGCTGTCCCAGCTGCAGCCGGGCTCTCACCTGGCACAGTCGGCGATGCCAGTGTAGACGTCCTCGCCCAGGCCTTTCTTGAGGGTTTGGATTCGTGTTTTCAGGACTAAAGCAAAAGTGACAATGACTAGTGAAGGTCTTGAATTTGACGTCCTTGACAGGACACAGTGGGTCCCCTGGGCCAGGCGGCGGCGTGGTGGCTTGGGCTGCCGTATCTCACACAGCCAGCTGAGCAGACACCAACAGCACGCCTCGGCCGGGCTGATTTTAGGAGGGGCACATGAAACAGGAGGCCAGTCGGGCCTTGGGCCGGTGGAAGGCCTTCGGTGCAGGCCTACGTCTGGGGCGAGGGGCCGGCCACAGGCCGTGGGCACTGCTGCCGGCGTCCACCTGTGCGGGCAGGAGCAACTGGGCAGCACCTCACACTTGGTAGCTGCTGCCTGGGGCCTTGCTCACAGCCCGGGCGCGTGACTGCTGGGGCGGATGTGGCCACACGGCCCAGCACGGGTGGCACTGCCCATGGGACGGGAAGGCCTCCGAGGCCCGGGATAGCCCACACTTTCTGGGGGGTGCTTTTCGTCTCCCCAGGGTGCAGCAGCTCCAGGTCCTGCCCCACAGAGGGGTCCGCTGCTCCCTCCTCCAGAAAGCAGGTCCTCCTGGAACAGCCAGCCCTGCCACCCCACACTCACCGTCCAGAGGCGTCACGGCAGCGGCGGCCACGGAGCCCGCGGCGCAGCCCGACAGGAAGGAGTGGGCGAAGGACGCCTTGCCGGTGAGCTCGTCGATGCCGAGGTGGTTGAGGTTGGCGAAGAGCGGGAAGTAGATGATGGAGAAGGGGATGTCTCTGCACAAGAGGAGGCAGCTCTGCAGCTCTGGGCCCCAGCCAGACGCGGGCCTTCCCTGTGAGTGAGCGGCTTGGCGGGGGCACGCCCGGCGATGCGGGGTGATGTCCACCCGAGAGAGAGGCCCGCTCATGGCACCTCCCAGCTCACGCCTGCCCGTCGGCGCCTGTGGCAGGGGTGGCAGAGCAGCTTGGGCGGGCCCCGGGCTGTATGAGGGCGGGAGGGAGCCCGCAGAGAGGAGGGCCGTACCCTCCGTCTACTCGGGGAAGGTGCGACCAGGCGGACCGGGCCTTCTCGGGTGCCTGTGGGCCACAAACCCTGGAGATGGGGCCTAAAGCTCAGGCCTGCAGGCACCCTTCTGTCCAGCCCTGGCCAATTCCAGACAGCAGGAGGCACAGAGACGTTTGCTCCCCTGCTGTGAGCACTCCAGGAGATGGGGGGCGGCGGGTGGGCTGCGAGCCCCTGGCCCTCCTGTCCCTGTCGCTGTGCTCCGGCCGTGCCCCACGTCCAGGCAGTGAGGCTCACCTGAGGAGAGTGGCGCCCAGGCCCTTATACAGGCCAGCCAGGCCCTGCGTGCGCAGCAGCTCCCAGGCGATGAGCGTGGCCGACGGGCGCTTGTGGGTGGAGGCCGAGCTGGTGGAGTAGGGCCTAGCGGATGGGGGCCCTGAGGTCGGCCCCTGCGGGTGCCCGGCTAGAAGGGGAAAGACAGACCGGCAGGTGCTACAGGACACTGTTCCCAGGGTAGGGGTCCTGATTCCTATCCTTGGGATAACTCAGTGTCCGGGGCGACAATGTGACAAAAATTCTGAATTCTGTCTTAATAAGGAACACCATTTTTTGTTTATTTGTTTTAAGGTTTTAGCCATAGGGCGCATGTGCTAGCCAGAGAGCGAAAGTGAGAAATCACTCCCCAGGGAGGATGGGCGTGCCAAATCCCTTCTCCACTCACCTCCTGGGACTTGGGGCACACATGCACATGTGCCTGGTATGAGTTTTAAGCCTTGAGATCCAGGACTCGAGCTGTGGTTGGCCGTGTGCGAGTCCAGCGCCCTAACAACTGTGCTAGCTGCTGGCCCCTAGAATACCTAGAATATCAGTGTTTGGCTCCAAGGCAGTCCTTCCAAGCCCGTGTAATCTGAGTCACCCTGAAGTGTAGGACACTTCACTGGGGCGAAGGCTGCAGCCATCACCTGCCGGGCTCCATCATGGGAAGCCCCAGTAGGGCCCCAGCAGGGCCCCGAAATTCCTTCTATTACAGCTGCCAAATTTGATACATCTTCCTTTTCTTTTTGTAACTTGCCAGAGGTCACATGTGGTCACAGAGAGGGGGATGTGAGGGAGCTCCCCAGGATGGTCACGCTGCAGTCTTGCGTCTCTTCCAGGATGTGGGGCACACACGTCACGAGCCTGGCATGTTTCTCAAGCTGCAGGGTCTGAGATGACCATGCGGCTGGCCTTCATTGCCACGCCGGCTGGCCCCAGACGTCATCCGCTTCTAAGCCCTATCCAAGCCAACGGAGATGGCGTCATCCTATTAGCACTCTGGGGCGTAGGAATCCTTGTTGTCCTGCTCCATGGCAAGCACATCCCTTCTAAAAACGGTCCTCTCCATGGGGCCAGCCAGTGGTGCGATGGTGAAGGCACTGGACTCTCCCACATGGCCCATCATGGTTTGAATCCCAAACCTGGAGGTTTGAAAGACACGCTGGGTTCATGCGTGTGTGCCCGAAATCCTGAGAGGAGAATGGAGGAGAAGGGATTATGGTGTGGCCTCCCTCCACCCCGGGGCGGGGGGCGATTTCTCACCCTCCAGCAAGCATTGTGCACTCTAGCATATTAAAATCAATAAGTAAATAAAATAAAGCAATGATCCCCATTAGTGACCACAGGACAATGAAATAGTTTCACATTTATCTTGCAAAGCTGTGTTAGATTAGAAATCCTTTGCTAAAAGCAAGCTACTCTTGGTTTCCCCTCCCAATCTGGTTTGGTCCCATGCAGGGCAAACAACATGTCACAGCAGCGAGCTACTCCTACTCGTCACACATAATTCCTTTTCCTTCCTTCTTTTCTTTTCTTTTCTTTTCTTTTTTCTTTTCTTTTTTTTTTTAATTTTGTAACAGAGCATCTGCCTTTCCAAAGAGGAGAGAAAGACAGAGGGAGAGTGAGAAGTCACCCCCAGGGGGCTGGCCATGCTGCAACCCTTCTCCATTCTCCTCTTGGGATTTTGGGCACGCACAGCATGATTCACCATATTTTCTTTAAGCTTTTTTTTTTTTTTTTTTCCACAACACAAATCCATTTTTACTCATTTACATTTCATTATTTTAAATCCCTGAGGGGTGCAGCATCACGCGGATTCTGTGTCCAATGGCCTTAGCAGGGAGGTTGCTGCGGAATTTGGCACGAACCATGCCACTGTTTCCACGGGCACGGGTGACCTTTCCCATCACTCTGGTTTTACTTGGTTTGCCACCAGGAGCCACTGTGTTGTGTTTTGCTGTGTTAAGCACACCTTTGTGTTAAGCACACCTCTTGCCTAAACAGAATTCCGTTTCATCTGGTGCATAAACACCTCCCATTTAAGAAGAGCTGTGTGCTCCCTTTGGTCCTGAGACCCTGCTGATAGCCAGCAAGTGGCCGTGGACCACAGCCTTCCAGACTTAGCTGCCGTTTAGAAGTCCTGTTCCCCGCAGGCCCCCACAGGCTCCAAGATGGCCAACTTTTTATTTTTTACACTTGTTTAATCAAGACCAGTAGATGACATAATGACATCGCTGGACTCTCCCACGTACTCAACGGTTCTGGTCCCAGACTTAGAACTTAAAACTCAACACCACACACCTGTGTGTACCTGCTCAGAATCCTGAGAGGAGAACAGAGAAGGGATTGGGACGTGGCCATCCCCCCCGAGGGTGATTTCTTGCTTTTTGTCTTTCTGTCTCTGCCTGTCTCTCCGGCATGTGCATGTGCCCTATAGCAAAAACCTCTCCCAAAAAGTCTTTACTTAATTTTATTATTATTATTTAATTTGACCAGTGAGAGAGAGAGGGAAAGTGAGAAAGCAAGCCACCAGGTCTGGGACTCAAACCATGGTCAGCAACATGGGAGTCCACCATGCTACCTGCCGGCCCCAAGGAACATAGAACTTTTTATTTTTTTAAATAAAAAAAGAATTATTTATTCAGTTTTATTTATTCATTTATTTATTTTAATTTGACTAGAGAGAGACAGAGAGAGAGAGAGAGAACAGAGGGAAGAGGGAAAGCAAGCCACTAGGTCCAGGAACCGCGGTTGGCCCTGTGGAAGTATCCAGTGCCTTAACCACCACGCCACCTGCCAGCCCCAGGGAACACGGATCCTCTTGCTAGTGGTGAAAAGTTAAGTGTTACCTGCTAGACACACGGCAGGCCTTCCGCGCCCACGCTTAGTGCTCCCTGAGCTCCCGCCCTCACTCTGGGCTGACCACTCAGAGTACATCCAGACGTTAGCTGGGGGAGGCGGGGGCAGCGCTGTGTCCCTGAGGACTGTGTTCCCTCCCTAGTGGCTCCTGGCCCTGGAAGGCTGAGCTCGCTGTACATGTGCTGGCTCCGCCATGCTTTGCTACCTCTGCTACCAGGACTCTTACAGGGAGAGCCAAGAGCAGGGCTGCTTGTCTCCCCTTCCCTCCCCGCTAAGGGCTGGCCTCTGACAGGAGGTCCTACTGACGTCCTGGTTCAGGGAGCAGATCGTTGCTGTCGTTAGCCTCTTTAGGCAACCAGGCCTTAAACAGCTAAAAAATGAAGCGCTAGGTGTGGGCATGTCCCTGGCTCAAGTCCCGGTTCTGCCATTGTGCTCCGCTAGAGCAGTAGAATGGGGCACCATAAGATGAAGACTCCTGGGAACCAGCAGTTAGCGTAATGGCTATGTTGCTGGACTCCCACGTAGTCGACCGTGGTTCGTGTCCTGGACCCGGTGGCTTAAAATTCACGCCGGGCGCGTGTGCGTGCGTGCCCAAGATCCTGAGAGGAGAATGGAGGAGAAGGGATTGCGGCGTGACCATCCCCCCTGGGGGGTGATTTCTCGCTTTCTGTCTCTATGTCTCTCTCTGTCTGTCTGGCGAGCGCACGCACACTACAGTGAAAATCTCTCCAAAAAAAAAAAAAAAGTGAAGACTCCTCCTGGCCCAGAGAGCGGCGTGGGCACAGCCTAGTAACAAGGGGGCCGGGTGTGATCACCGACCCTGCCTCCCCCAGCCCACCGCTGGGCAGGCCTCACCTGAGCGGCCCGCGTCCTGCAGCTGGATCTTCAGCATCTCCATCGGGCAGGTGACCACCACCTGGCACATCCCAGCACCACACCCGGCCAGCATCTCCATCTTCAGGTCCCTCTGCCTCCTGTGGGACAGGGGTGGGCTCCTTCAGTCTCAGGCCCCCGACCCTGGGATTGAGCCAGTCCTCGGATGGCAGCTAGCCCCGTCCCCACTGGCTGCGACTCACCCGGCAGATGGCCTCAGCTCCACCTCAGTGAAGACTGAGGTTAGGTCACACAGGTTGCCTGTGCAGACGCGGAACTGGCTGGGAGATTGCTGCAGTGGGACTCGCTCCTCCCAGACCCCCTAAGTTGGCTCACGAGGGCTACTGGGAGCGCCAGGGGCTCGGGGCTCGGTGCCCACCGGTGCTGTGTGATCTCTGCTCCCCAGACCCAGCTGCCAGATCACGCCAGCTGTCTTCGCCCTCACACCCAAGCTGCCAAATACACCGGCCTCAGCGTGTGTGCACACGTGTGCATGAGTGTGCACAGGCAGCGAGGCGCCCTGCACCCTGCCCACAGCGCCTGCGAATGCCCTCACTCCGCCGTACCCGTCCTCCATGAGCAGCTGCCGCAGGAAGTCGTTGGCAGCCAGCTTGATGGCCTTCTCCGGGGTGACCAAGGTCAGGTTCACCGCTGCCCCTGGAAGCCCAGAGCGGGGATGAGTGCGGCCGGTGTGGTCCAGGCCTGTGCTGAGCACGCGCACGCCGTCGCCGCGGAAGCCTCTGCCCGTTATTGCGGCCGTCTTCTTGCCACCCCCACCCCCCCCGCCCGG